GAGTAATTCCAGCAGCTTTCTCAACATCCTCCGATGTAATCCGTCCAAATGGGCCGGTCCCCTTCACCTTATTGATATCAATTTTATGCTGCTTCGCCAATTTCTTCGCATTTGGGGTTGCAACAATTTTCTTCGGCTCATCAGAAGAAACCACAACCGGAGATTGAGGTTCAGGAGTACTCTCCGATCCAGAAGAAGAACCCCCAGATTGTCCTTTCGCTTTCGCTTTAGCTTCAGCAATTTCATCTTCTGTTTCAGCTAATAACCCAATAGGAGCACCAACAAGTGCAGTTTCACCTTCGTTAACAACAATAACAGCTAAAATCCCATCGTAAAACGTCTCAACATCCATATCAGCTTTATCCGACTCCACAACAACGACAGATTCACCTTTAGACAAAACATCACCTTCCGATTTAACCCAAGATACGATCTTTCCTTCAGTCATCGTTGAGCTCAATGCCGGCATGAAAATCTCTCGAATCTTCGATTCAACAACCGGGAGTTTGTATTTTCTGGGTTTCTGAGGAAGCATTGTGCGTGTGGATGAGAAACGGCCGAGGGAAGATGAGAAGGATATTGCAGAGGATTGAAGTGACGCCATTGAAGCTAAAATTTGGGGAATTTTTTTTGTGAAAATGGTAAATTGAGTTAAGATTTATATGGAGAAAATGAAGAAGAAAATGGCGGAGAAGACGAGGAAGTATTAGTTCTAAGTGTAGCTTTGAGTTTTCCGCCGATTTGGTTGCTGTATATTTGGGGGCGTAGGCTAAAGTTCGTTGGGAATAATGTTCCCAAATAGATTGTTTTATTTTGTATTTTTAAAAAAGAAAAACTCAAAGTTACAAAAAGAATTCTTATTTGATCCAATTCAGATACATCTCAAACGTTTCAATACGTCACATTTAAATTCAACCAATTCAGATACATCTCAAACGTTTCAATACGTCACATTTAAATTCAAATATATTCTGACATATCATGTCTCAGTTTTGTATACATCATTCAACATCTCGATAAGTCATGTATATTGATCTGTCCAATTAATACATCGCGTGATACATTATGTAAAGTGACCTCACAATACATTGCGTGTGTCCTGATAAATTGCAAACTGATGTATCTCTTTGATTAATCACTTAAACTGATGTAATCGACCAATACATCATGTAAAATGAGGTATTCGATACATCAGATAAAGTGATGTATATGATGTATCCGACTGATACATCGCGTAGAATAAGAATTTTTATAAATGGTTGAAATTTTTTTTAAAAATAGCAAAATAAATTGTATTTTTAGATAATTTTTCCAAAAAATATTGTTTTTGGTTAAATGGTGGTTATACATGTTGAAATGTTTTTTTTTAAGTTGACATAATTAAGAAAAATACTATGACAGGTTTTGATACTATATTTTTTAATTTAGTGTATGAATTTTACATGTATATCTCGCGTTAACTAATGATATTAGTATAAAAATAATAAATATCGTGCATGTGTTATATATTAAGTACAAAACATACTAACAATAATATATTCAGTGAAATTTTATCATGAAATGAATAAAATATACACAAATATTATCACTATTTATGTGGAGATATAAAAGTTGTTTCTGAACTCTCATACATCAAATTCAAACAAAACAAGAAGAAAACAATAAAGAAAACATATCTGTTAATAAGATAAGTAATGCAAACAGTGGTAGATCCACCATTACTTGCGTATAGGTGTGAAGATTGTTTGTGAAAGGCAATCGGCTCAAGTGCATTAAAAACAAACAAATAAAAAAAAAACATAGCACTCAGGGTTCAGAAAAATCTCTATATATATATAAATGTGAATCAAGAATTGCTGATGTGGCATGCCTCTAAGGGCTGGATTTTTTTATTTATTTATTGGAGATTTTTGGTGTAAAGTATTTTTTCATTTTAAAATATAAAATATTATTTAATATTTTTGTAAATATTAAAGCATAGTATTTAATCATTCCCACATTAAATCATACATAAAAGCTTCAGTTATCAAATTCTTACCTTAAAAACATTTTTCTTAATTGTAAAATTTAAGAAAATTTATTCTTTACACTTAATTAGAGAATTTGAAATGTTTTTTAACATTAACATTTGAATACTATATAAACCATACCATTAGATTGCTACATGTTGGACATGAGATTGTTTGTAAAAGATGAAAGTCGGACGAATATGATGGTGTCGAGATAGCCATGGATTTATGCGCTGCTGATCGAAGAAGACAACTAAATATGGAGTTTGAAAACCTCTGAAGCTTTTGCCATTCTTTTGCATTTGTTTATTTACTTTTCTTTTTTAATCTAGCTAGTGCTATAATTTATTTTCCTTTTTGATTATTGAGAATCGATTCCACTTTTGGAATTGATAGATATACTATTTTTTAATTTTTATTGATTAATAAATCTTGATAGAACATTTGTGTTTTTTTTTAAAAAAAAAGAAAATATTTCATGTAATATAACTAAAATTTAAGTTTAATTTGCAGTCATTTATTTTGTTACATATTTTAATTTTTTATTTTCTCTAATCTATGAAATCTTTAAAAAAAAATCAAATTTCTCATCATTATAACAATTTATTAATTTTCATTTTTCTTTATTGTTACTACAATTTATTATTTTTATTTAAATTCTTTTTTCTGCCTTCTATTTTTATAATTTTCTAAAAAGAAATGTATTTAACTCTGATTCTTATTTCCATAATTTAACATTGTACCTTCTATTTCTATTAAATATATATGTTTTATTTATGTCTCCTTTTATTACCATGAATATGTTCTGCCCATTTTTTCTCAATTAATTTCATTTAATTTGTTGTAAAATGTTGAAAAAAATTAAAATATCTTA